GAGCCGAGCTTTATGCCAAGGCTCGCTTTGGGGGAACTCGACCCCAGGTGCAGAATGAGAAAGAGTTCTTGCAGGGCCCTCTGCTGGCCCCCGAGGACCGTGGGATGTGAGCAAGAAATAAGCCTTCGCCTCAGTCCCCCGGGGTGGGAGCAGTTGGCGACAGCAGCACAGCTTAGCCGAGCTGAGAACCATGACACCGTGTGGAGCTGAGGACCCAAGGCTCAGAGAGGAAGCGACAGGCTAGGAGTGGCTCGTGAGCTGTCCCACTGCAGAGCGCATGCTCTCAGCCACCTACATGTGCTGGAGCGAGCCGAGTCGGAGGTGACCCCGCCCGGCCTCCAAGGGCGCGCAAAGACCACACTGCACTGAGCTGGCCAGAGCTGGGCCTCTGCCCACCTCCCCTGCCACTTCCCAGATCCACCAGCGGAGCTTTCTCCCGCGGTCAGAGCTTGGGGACAGCTGACAGGTTGGCCGAGGGTCTGGAAGAGATGAATTTCCTCCTGCGTCTGCATTCTCTCCCTTCGGGCCAGCTCCGCAGCAAGCGGCCCACTGAGAACAGCCTGGGGCGCTCCCTGGGCCTCCTGGGGGGCGGGGCAAACCGTTCTCAGACCCGCCCTGTTGAGCCAAGGGGTCATTTCGATGGGCACTTTCCGCATCCGCAGCGTCTCGGCCGCTCCATGCAGGTCTGGACATTCTCGGGGTGTGTTTAACTACCTCTCATGGCTTTAATAAGAGAGAGACACGGAGGAGATGGGGGACATTCTGAAGGCCCTCCTGGAGGACAAGCGCAGGCCTGAGGACAAGTGCAGGGGACAAGCACAGGCCTGGGGGTGGGGACGACCGCAGACAGTTTCTCTGTCAACAACTTGAGAGCCTCCGCTGGACGAGCCGTCTCCCAACCGCCGGGCGAGCCCGCGGGCCACACACTTCCAGTCCTTTGCAACCTCGGTCCTGGCTGGGCTCTCGCTGTCCGTCCTTTTTCCGTTCTCCCTGGGGACAGAGCGGTCAGCCCTGGGCCCACAGCGCCTGGCCAGAGCCACCGGGCCTGGGCAGGTGGGGGGCCTGTTGTCGTGGGAGGCATGTCAGCCATGGACGGAGCCGGTCCCAGGGACTCCAGTGTTTGGTTGGGGTTGCCTAAGTGACTGCTCATGGGGGACCCTCCGTGCCCGACACAGCTGGGGCGTCTGCAGGCCCGCCCCTCCCATACACTGCCTGCCACCGTTCCAACTTTCCCTCCGGCTGATGGCCAAGCGACCAACACACAGGCGGGTTCGAAACAGAGGGGGCTTGTGATGACCGGTTTCATCGGCCTTA